AACAAGAATCTGACTCTTTTTCTGTATTTAGGAACTTTTCCATTTTGCTCCCTAAGTGAAAGCTAGGTTGGGGTAGATAAGCAAACCATAGCAGGAAGAAATGGGAGAGGGCTCACATTCCACAGTGAGGGTGTCTGAACAAGTTGGAGGTACAGGGGAAGCCGTGCAAGTAGAGGCAGTCTTGGGGCCAGAAGCCAGCTCAGTCGTGCAGACCTGAAAGTGTGGTGTCCCTTTCTCATAAGGACACAGTGGCAAGCTGCTCCTGGCTGCTCAGCCCTGAAATAGGCCCTAGAGCTCCCTTCGTGATTTGGAGAGCATACCCATGGCTGTCTACTAATTCTTTTTTATTTAAATTGCTAGGGGAGGTTTCTATTGCTTACAAATGAGAATGCTAACTGATACACTGGGTAACTGAGGTTCTATAATTTCAAATATCAGTTTTCATTATCTGGAACAACATAGATCAGTAGAAGAAGATGTAAAAGTTTCAGCTGAATGTGACAAATTCTCTGGAGCTTACAAAACCCTGATAGCACCTTATTTATTTTGTGCCCCTCATCTAAGAGCAGTGTAGGAGAAAACTAGTGAACTGAGCTCAGGGAAACAGACGTCTTATTGTAACTACTGGCTCTGAGAGCTTCTTAAGATTGATATCTTTCTAAGACTACCATTTTGTTTCTACTATCCCCAGGATGGTTGGATTTCTCTTTGGTTGTGTGAGTTTCAAGATTTAAGATTGACTAGAACTGGTACAATTGATTTAGTTCCATGAAATTATTTATTGTAAAGCTCTCATCGTAAATTAATCATTATTTTTCTGTATAACAAATATCAAAGTTTCTACTTTCTTGTTAGATATAACTAAGCTCTCTTTTGGAAAATGGAAGACCTCATTTTTTCTTTCCCTTCCTCTGCTGGAAAGAGTATGTCAATTTTTCTGTTACATGTCTAATGCAGCCAAAGACTTTCTAGCTTTAAAGATTAATTGTGGCTGTGGGGAATGCCTTTTCCAACAGAGGTTAGTAACAAGTGACACTATTTAATAGTACTAAGGAAAATTTTATGTTAAAGTTAATTAGACCCAGAAGTCAAAATTTGATCTTTCCAATGTCCATTTTAATCATAAGTTCAACAAATTGAAATTAAGTCATGTTATTGCTAAAGAGTCTATGAGATGTCATTCCTAAAAATAATAAATGGCTCATACGTCTAGATTTCTTTCTGATTTTACTTCATAGCTTTGACAATTAGAAAAGTTCACTTAACTTCTTTGGGTTTTACTTTCTCTCCTCTTAACATGAAATGACAAAACTTCACCCTTCATGAATATCAGAGAACTAACTAGATGCTGTCTGTATCAAAGGGCAAATGCACTGGTTAAAGAATATATTGGGTTTTTGTTTGTTAGCTTGCTTTTAAGTGTGAATGTCCTTTTTCTGGACTAGGCTGGGCTCCCTGTTTGGATGCCTGAGAAGCGGTAAACCCATGATTATCACTTGCAAGGAAGACTGACAAATGACAACGTGGCTTTTATTTGGTGAAGAAAGTTCGAGATGAGTTCATTTCAGAGAACATCAGGAGTGCCATATACTTTTTACAAAGGACACTAGACTCTCATCAAGTAAGTATTCATTTCACTGATCGAATGTGACTTGTATGCCTAAGATTGGTGGTTAAAGGAATCCGATTTCAGTACTCTGTGACCATACTCAAACCCAGAAGTGACTGCAGGAGCATGAGCGAGAGTGCTGGGCTCCGAGGAATGTCCTTAGTGAAACTGTGCTCTCTAACATGGCTGCTTGTGGAGTGGAAGAGACAGACACTGATATAAGCAATTCTATGACAAGGGAGAGGATGGAGAGGCATAGGACTCAGAGGAAGGAAGATCCTTATAGCCAGGGGTGGGGGGCTCTGAAAAGGCTTTGGGGGGAACAGAAGGGAGACACTGCCTCTGCCACATGAGGATGCTAGAAAGTCCATTTCCAGCAGAGAGCAGCATGAGCCAGGGTGCCAGGAAGCAAAGGCATGGCTGGTTACGTGACAGAAAAAGTGGGTTAGCATGGGACTCTCAAAGTGAAAAGAGGCACTTGAGGCTGAATGGGGAAAGGAGCAGCGTGCCACTGGCGGAAACAAACTCCTAATTTATCTATAACAGTGTTCAGTCAGTACTGGTAAAACTGCATACAATTTCTCTCTGGAGGATTAAAAGCTGCACATTAGCACTCTCAAGGTCTTTATGTTTTGCAGTAAAACAAGAAAGCTTATGAGCTGCAGAGCAGCTTCCCCAAAGGCCAGGCTGCCCTTTAGAAAGCAGCACCGTAATTCTACAGAACATTGTCCAAAGAACACACTTTGCCTGCCCTGAGACACGCGGATGAGACTGTTTCCACTTGAGAGAGAAACTCTCTTCTTGTTCTACGTGGGAGTCTCTACTGAATGCTCACAGTCACGTGGGAGGTCTACTGGATGTGGATGGCCAACAGTGTGATGGAGAAATCCACACTGTCAGAAACAGGCATCCCTGAAAACAGAGTCCCACTGATTCATGTGTATTGGTGATTCTGGTCCTCCACAGGGAAAACTACGCATTTTCTGGTGCCTTTAAATATTTAGACAGAGAGTTTGAAACTTAGAAAATGCATTAGTTTTTTACTTATAATTTTATATATCAAGAGATAAGTGGTAACTATCTCTGGGAAGATGGATTTATGTGCATTAATTACTTCTTTATCAGCTACTTTGTATTTCCTGATTTTGTTTTCTAAAATAAATATTCTTTTGGTTAAAAAAGAAACCAAGTTATCTAAAACTCAAATACTTCAGGCAATTTTCCTTACTCCTTATTTCACATTTATTCTGTGTCAGGCTCTATAGAAATAGGAGGAACTAGAGAGAGGGCATTTCTGCCATCTAGACCTTGACTTACATCTGCTCTGCTTCCTCAATAGCAATGTCCTATGTTTTTTAACTTTTGCAAAAGTTAATAAAAAATAAATGTTCCCAGGGAGCAGCCTGCGTCAGATGTGTGTACTGCCTGTTGCCTTCGCCTGCATCTTTGCAGCTCTGTCACTCTGCATGTGGCACCTGCTGCAGTGACAACGCAGGGACTCCTGTGGTCATCCACCAAAAACTGCTGCCCTGACCATGCCACCTGTTTCCCCTTTACCCTTCTCAGTAAGCATGTTACAGTCCATACATTTACTGTCCGTGTCACTGAGAAATGGGTGGCAAGAGCCAAGAACTCTGCCTAAGTTTGTTCGCGGTAAGTCTCACCTAGGCTGACAGGAGGCTGACGTGGCTGGCTGGCTGACCCTTCTGAGCTGCATGAGCATCGGTGTGCATGTGACTTACATGCAGTTATCTTTCAGAAAGCTTCTTAATTATGAAGCAGATCTGCTCCCAATGCCACAGTAAGGATGCTAGCCACTTCCCTCTGTATGAATGTATTTCATGTAGCTAATTTATCTCTACTACCAGACACTCTGATATTCCCAACTTAACACTAACCATTTGGAAAAGGTGCCTGAAAATTAGTTGAGGATAAAGAAAAGTAGAAAAAAAGCAGAAAATACATAAAAATGTCAAGAGATACTGATGAGATTGCAAAATAAGACTGTGATCCCTGCTAGCAATATTAACTTCTGGCTTAGTGGTCACATTGATAGGATTCTTTCTGTAAAAGAATATGTTGCTGTCTCTAATTAAGAATTCAGAACTTTATTAAATATCTGCCAGGGATCAGCTATTGAGGATGCAGTCTTGATGGAGCTCACACTTTCTATGGCAAAGACCTACACACATACTTCATTCTTCTTTTTTATGGTACTGGGGTTTGTAATAGTATGTATAGTTGTAATAGTATGTCACAACTAATGCATGCTAATAAAGTGTTTTTTAAAAAAATAAAAGAACTGGTGGTGAGATAAACTCAGTTCTTTAGACTGCCTCTTAGAATGGGAACTACTTCAACCACAGAGATGAGGTTTAGTAGTAGTTTAGTAGTGCGTAATGTGTTAAAAATAGAGCTAATTCAAAAAGAAGGAAGAGAGAAGAACTGAGAATTAAAAAAAATCTTTCAGTAACTATTTTTCTGCTGTGATCTCCTCAAAGGCTATTGGCATGCATGTATGTGTCTGTTCTCTCTAATAATGACTGAGTCCAAACACCAAAAATGGGCCAAATAGAAGTAGAGCAAGAACGTTCTGAGGGTCACCCAAGTCACAGTCTAGAGAAGTCACCTTTGGGAAGGGACAGGGGTGGTCAGGGAGCTGGTGGGTTGGTGCTGATCAACTGTCTGTCTTGCAACCTCTGCTGTGAGGAGTTTTTATTCTGCTAGGTGTGTGCAAGGAAAAAGCTGCTCTCTGCAGAGGGTGCTCCTCCTTGCCTTTCGACAATCTTAATCTGGCATAATGACACCCCCCCCCCACCTAGAAAGGTGTTAGTTCAAAAAAAAAAAAAAAGAACAGAAATAGTAAAGATGGTTAAGAAGTGGATTGATGAAGAGAAAGAAAAAAAAGACAAGCTTTCTTTTCTATGGTTACTGCACAGCTACCTTTTGAGAGCTGCCTCACTCATCCTTATTGCACAGAAATACTGCTTTGCTATTTCTTTTGCCATTACAGTAAATACCCCAATCTGCTTAACAAATGAAATTCTCTCTCTAGAAACTACTGTCTACATGCATGAGACTAAGTAGATGTTTTTCTAGCAAATAATCTTTTACAAAGTCTGAGAGATGAAGTCTGGGCAAAGTGCTACTCCTGTTACAAAGTTAAAATGTCCCAGGACAAAACAGCTAGTTATGAATAACGGATACAAATGTAGACTCCAATTAAAAAAGAAGAAACAAGTGTGCACCAATCATATACATCTGACTAAAAGGAATGCTTCTAAATCTAAGCATTAGCCAAGGAAAATACGTTGAGCAGGTCTGCACCCGATACCTGTCATTTAAAGTACTTGCTCTGGACTCAGCACTGACTGCTTCTGATAAAACTCACCTGCAAGCAAATTGCCAGGTTCACTCTACAGCCAAATGAGGTGCTGACAGCCCGTGGGTGGAGGCCCAGGTCTTTAAACAGCTTTGAGAAAGACTGTGTGAGGGCGATTCGGGGACGTTCTTCTGCAACAACCACACAGGTCCTTACTCGGGACAAATCCAGTCCTCGTGCCTACAAATAAGGACAGTGATACTAAGTCAGCCTGCAATGTGCTCACTGTGGGTAACCTGGATACCCTTCATCCAGAACCCCATAGGAACAATGGAGAACTCAACAGGACTCTTCATTTCTAGAGCTATCCACAACCACGTCATTAACTAAGCCATTCCAGGATGCTGGTTAAAAACTGCCACAGATATTCAAAATATGAAAGCTAATACTGCAAACATATGTCAAACAATAGCAGGGCTTATGTTGAGCAAAAGCAACTCCCTGCACAGAAAGACAGTATTTTGGAAAGGAGAAGCATGTGTGTTCATTCTTACAAGCCCTGACAAATAAGAACGAACACCACTGAGAAACAAGAAGACCTACGTGTTTAAGTATAGAAATGCAAAACTAAAACGTTTAGACAACTTCATAATGGCGGCTCTCCACTTACATCCCATGAGACTTAAAAGGCCACCTGTAAATAAACTCAGTATCGAGTTCACCTCAGCTTCTATGGTAGGAATCATTGAGCACTTCTCAGTTTCGGCACTGAAGGCAGTCAGCTGAGCAAAGCAGTGAGAACCACAGGAGGAAATCAATGAACTGAGAGCCAACACTCTCAGTGGTGAAAGGTGGAGCCGAGCAGAGCATGAATAGGTGAGTGATGGACGTGCCCCTGAGTGTGGCGGCCAGTGAACAGTGGTATCTTATGTGGAACCACAGCTGTAGGGGACGATCTAAATCAAACCATCAGGTCCCTCAAGCATTCTTCCAAGTATTTTCAGTAGAGATGACTGGCCAGGATCCTGAATGAGGAAGAGACACAATTCTGATGTGTGTGTGTGTGTGTGTGTGTGTCTTAAATTGTGGGGCTAGGGACTGATTCAAGACCTTATGAATGCTAAGCCTGTGCTCCACCACGGAGCCACACCCCTGCCCTCAAGATAATCTTGACATCAAAATTTGATATCTAGTGTGATTGCACACATAGTTACACAGAAAAAACTTGAATACGGGCAATTCCAATTATGTATTTATCTGTGTGAATGACAGACAGTGCAGCATGGGCTCTGCGACAGACTCTGGAGCTCCAAGTTTATCAAGTGTAGGAAGATATGGAAAGGTTGCACAGTTTCCTTGAACTTAAGCTTCTCATCTTTAAAATGGAGACTATAATGGTTTCCATTTCACAAACCTCCGGTAAGGATCAGAGGAATATGTAAGTGCGTAGATGATGAAATGTATTTGATCATTTTGTAATGCATTACGGATGCACATGGGTCATGATTATGCTCCACAGTTCTTCCCCACCCATGGAAAGACACAACTTCAAATAATTACACACTCACTTATATAGTGTAATATCAAGCACATGTAGTTTGTTTCCTTGTTCTACCATAATGCATTACGCCTGAATAGGAAAATCAGAGATGGACAAGCCACTTCACTATTTAGATATGCATATTCACACACAAACACAACCACAATTTGGATAGACACAAAGGCATACAAACTACTAAAACAGTAGTTGAAATATAACCAAAAGAGGCCATGACTTATCCCCTCCCTGTTACCTGGAACTAAGGACTACTTAATTTGCCATGAAAATATGTTTATCAGGATGTCCTTGGTTTAAATGGAGAGATATTATTCTATTGAAAAAAAACCACTGTTCACTTAATTATTAAATGAATTCTTGTTAGAGTCTAGACCTTCAAACTAGTGTCTTCCAGGAAAATAAAGATGAATGCTACTTAAATATCAATATCAAACAGTTAAGTTCAGTGAAAAACTTACTCACAAAGAGACAACTTAGGATCTTTCAAGTAGACTTAGTGGAATTTAAGACAATAAAGTATTTTATACTCTTGCTCATTACTACTTGAGGCAGTGGGGAACTATTCATGGTACAAAACAAAAAACAAAACCCTTTTCACCCAAAGCAATGTGTAAGTCTTAGGGGGCAGATCACATCTTGGTTCATTTGAGGGACCCTCCTGTCTTGACCTCACCCATTGGGCACAGAGTGCCCTGTGGGCTCAGGAGCACTGTGGACAGGAGCTGCATTGCTTACCTTGAGGGATTCTGTTTGTGAGCCCAGCCCCTTGGTACAAAGCTCCATCACCGAGTAGGAACAGAATGTGTCCCGGACCTTATACTGACTCACAGCCAGAAGCCACAGGGCAGGGTTGGTCTCCAGCTCGGAAGGTGGGATGAGAATGGACTGGTGCCCGGAGTACACACTGCAGGGACAGAAAAGGCCATCAGGGTATGGTGCTCACTAAGGAGAAGGAATTTAGAGCAGCATTCACCTCTGAGAAATGGGGCGACTTCCAACAAGCCCCTTTTTCCATGCAGAAGACAGGGATTGTAAAACCAACTCCAGGAAGGGAAATCATGTTTTTGAAGACATACTGAAAGGGACAAAAGAACTACAGTAAGTAATTACCATTTTGAACACTCATTTAAAACGTCTGAAGGCTGACGCTGTTAGGTTTCTCTCAGCACTGCTATGTTAATAAACATGACTCTCTTTCATAGCAGAAAACACAGATACCACATTTTGGTAAAAAGTCTGGAGTTGGCAAACCATAGGTGCTGTCTGTTTTAGTAAACACACTTTTTCTGGAACAAAGCCATCACTCATTTGTTTAAACAATGTCTCCAGCAGCTTTGAGCTAAGGTTTGGGATACAGACCACAGAGCCTAAAATTTTGCCAAGTGTCCATTTAAGAGAAATGTATGCCTACTGTGGTTTACAAAATCTTCATGCAGAGCAAAAGAAAGAGAATTACGGCAATTAAAAGAAGTCACTCAGTCCTGTTAAGTTTTGTTTGTACTATAAAATAGTCTACACAAATCACCCATGAGAAGAACTGGGAAATTAGTCATTCTTTAATTTTAGCTTCATATGAAATAGCACATTTAGAGAAATGAGGGAAAATTACACTTATTTTAATTTGTTTGATGGGGTGTTGATTTTAAACAATAAAGTATTTTCCAAAACCAAAAGTGCTTTTTTAATGTTTTTTATTACTATAACAAATATTAGTAAATACTATTAGTTATAATAAGTATCCCAGATAAGTAATGTAAAACATAAATAAAAGGTATTTTCTAGCTATAGAAGACAGCTAGATTATAGTATATTAAAAACCATTTGTTTAATGTGGGTGATCTCACTTAAACTTTTTCAGAATCACTTGTAAGAGGATCCAACTGGTTAAACAAATGCAAGGGAATTAAGTGTGTCCCCAAATCTACTTCAGACAGGACCCTTCTCATGGAACACCACTCTTCACAGAATGTGACAAAGGACATCGTGGAACATTTTCTTTGTTTTTCTATTCCAAAACTTCATTTATTTTTGTAAACAGGAAATATAGCAAAGATTGGCCTGGCCTGTGGCCTTTTCCAAGCACTGAATCATTTGAGAACTGGGAGGTTAGGCTCATAATAGCAGGAACATCAGGCTTTAAATTAGTATTCTGCTATTAATTTCCTACTTTGGTTTTTGCTTTAAAAAATTCTGTCCTGGTAAAACATACAATTTTTCACTTTAACAATTTCTCAATATATACTCCAGTGACATTAATTATATTTACAATGGTGTGTATCCATTACCTTATCTATATCTATTACTTTTTCTTCACCTCAAACTGAAACTTTGTTCCATTAAGCAAACTCCTATTCTTTCCTCCCACAGGCCCTGGTGTCTGCTAATTGACTTTGTTAATTTGCTCATTCCAGATCCCTCACACAGGGAGAGTGATACAGTTTGTCTTCTCTGTGGCTTATTTCACTTCATCCACATTGAAGCATGTGACAGATTTTCCTTCCCTTTATATATAATTGGATGTGTATAACCACATTTTGTTTAACCACTCCTCCAGTGGACAGTACTTTATTGGTTTCTACCTTTTGGATACTGTGACTAATGCTGAAATGAACAGTGTTATACCAGTATCTGTCTGAGTCCCTGTTTTCAATTCTTTTGGACTTATACCTAGGAATATAATTGCTGGATTATATGGTAATTCTGTGTTTAGCTTTTTGGGGAATCCTCAAACCAAATTCTAGAGCAGCTGCACTATATTACATTCATATTAGCAAAGTACAAAATTCTGATTTCTCCACATCCTCACCAGCACTTGCTATTTCCTGGTTTTTTAAAATTTATACAGCTATGGTAGCAGGTATGAAAGGTTATTTCATATGCTTTTCATTTGCTTTCCCTGTGGAAATGTACAAGTTATTTTTATTATATCATAATCAGTAAAATCCCATTTCAATAATTATAACATCCAAAATTCTTACAAATTTTTACAAATTTGTCCTTGGGAAATTAATTTAGGTCATTAAAAGTGACTTCACATTAAGGCTAATCAGCAGAGTTCAAATAACATTATAGAAATACATGTGAACAAAGCAGAGTTACACACTATCCAAAAAACTACTAATTACAAGTTAACTTTCTATGAAACAAAATTTCTCTATGAAGTTAGTCTTGCTCTTGAAGTCTGTGAACTCAAACTTTTATGGTATGTTCTTTCACCCAGAACTAAGGTTCTTTGTGCTCATTTCGCTCTCGTTCTAAAAGCCGGCACAAGATGACCTCTGCAATGTTTCCTATGCTTGCTTTATTCTGAAGCATACCACATGATTTCTCAAATAACCATCCAGGATACACCTTAGGGTCTGAAAGCAAATCACACGTCTCTAGCAAGAGACTTCTTAAGGGGGACATCTGTGCCTCGCCCTCACATCCACATGCAGGGATGTGTGCACCATCTTTAGAGATTTGCCCACCACAGCGAAGACAGACACACAGCTCTCCCATCCCTTCCTGAGACCCATTAGGTCTCATCCCAGCCTCTTCCCAAGAGAGGGGCAGCCTCTCTCATAGTGCTCACAAGCAGAAGGAGTTATCCATTTGGACTGATTTCACTGAAGCTTCATGTTTCATTGGGCGACTTGTAGGCCAGTGTTCCTCAGTCTTGCTTACTGGCACTTACAGCACAGCACCACAGAGTCAGCCTAAGCTCTTTTAATAGGGGTGACTTTGGATTGGATGCTTCCTTATTAGCTAATGTGTTGCCTCCAATTAGAAGTCTCAAGGCAGCACTGAGTAGGAATAGAAAGAAATGGAAAAGTTGCCTCGGCTGTATGGGTATTAAAAACAATCTCAGGGCCAAACATGGGGTCATATGCCAGGGAACAGCCCAAGATATAACAAGGCTGCACATCACGTATCCTATACATCATGATTACTTGCCAGGAGACATTATATGCCTTTGCATTCTGGGAAGCAAAGGAACACAGTGTCTCTGTGAACATCAAGTGTTATTCCACACATTCATGAATCAGGTTGACAGTACTACCTTAATGAGATGTTCTTATACTTTTTTCTTTTTGAAATACAGCTGAAACTTAAGCAGCTACTCTTTCATAGTAAGGACAAACATCTTCATTGCCACTGAACATGCTAAAGGTATCTGAGCCCACTGTCTTCGGGAATAAAAGCTTATGGTGATTTCTCCCTTGATTTTTCCAATCTTATCATTTCCCTATTGTTCTCAAAATTTTACCTTGCAAACCCTGTCATAAAAAGACTCAAAATGAAGGAAGTTAAATACAAATAACCCATTTGCAGCATTCACAACAATATACAACAGCATTACTATTTGCTTGAATAGAACTGTTAGCACCCAAGAGGGTTAGGCTGGTAATATGAATTCAGGGCCAGAAAAGTTTGTGAAAATTAAATATAGTTTCGCCTCTATCCTTACATCCTGAACAAGTGAAAAGGGAAAGTTAATTGATCCTCACAACAGAAGATAAACAGAAAACCTGACTCATGAATTTTCTATTTGCCTTTCCTTGCTCAGTTCAACAAGTGCTGACTAACTGTTGCACTTATTAGCTAATTCTGATTTTTTGGCACTGATGATACACATCCCTATGGACAAATCTACTAAAGAGCAGGATACCTGGTCTTAAGAAATGATTTTCTAAGAATTCCTGGAACTTGGGCTATTCTAATTTAGATTTTAATTTTAAAATGAACACATTACCTGGGGGGGTGGTAGAGGTGGGAGGGGGAGGATGTGGAGACAGAGTGTAGGAGGGTGAATATTTATACAGTGTACACATGTATGTAAATGGAAAAATGGGATCTGTTGAAACTACTCTAGGAATGGGGGAGGGGAGATAAAGGAGAATGGTGGTGGGGTGAATTCAAGTATGATATATTTGGTATATTGTAAGAACTTTTGGAAGTGCCACAATGTACCCCCCACCCAGCACAATAAAAAAAGAAAAAAACATAAAAAATTAAAATGATCAAGTTGATCAAAAAGATATTTTTGCACATAATCTAAATGTCCACATGAGTAAACTTGCACAGACGTGTCATTACCACCCAGGTGCTACTGTCTAACAGCCATCACCCTAAAGTAGGCTCTGTGTCCATTTGTGGCAAAGTCATTTCCAACTCTAACTTTAAAATCATCATTCTACTTTCTATCTCTACAAATATGCCTTTCCTACATATTTCGTGTGATATAACCATGTTACATATACACGGCCTTTTGATTCTGTCTTCTTTAACTGAGTGCAATGATTTGAAGGTCATCTACACCGTATTCCACTGTCCAGCTATGTCAAATCTTGTCCATTCGCCCATTTGGGTTGTTTCCTTCCCCTCCCCACTTACTGGTTTTGACTGAGCCTCTTGTGAACAATTCTATGAAGTTCTTGTGCAAACATGTGTTCCTATCTCTTAGATACATAGGAATGGAACTGCTGGGTCACATGGTATACTTACGCTTAATATTTAAATTGGGCCAAACTGTGGTTTCCCCATTTTATGTTCCTATCAACAATGTGCAAAAAAATCCAGCTTTTCCACAATAGTGGCTAGTTATGCTTTGTAGCATAAGTATGAAATAAGAAAAAAATGAGTTCTCCAACTCTATTCTTTTCTGACTTTTTTGGTTTATGTCTGCTCTAGTGGGTGTGAAGTGTATCTTACTGTGGTTTTAATTTGTATTTCCCTAATTAATGCTAGACATCTTCTTATGTACTTATTGACTGGCTGCTAGGTGTTTTTTAGGGGAGATAGTCAGGTATGTCACTTGTCTTACTTCCAAGTTTTAAGAGTTCATCACATAGCTGGCTAAACATTGTACCAGACATATGATTTGTGATGTAGCTTGGCTTTTCATCTTCTTAGTCATATCTTCTGATATACTAAGGCTTTTAATTTTGTTGAGGTCCAGTTTATCAATATCTCCTTTATGTATTATGTCTTTGGTGAAGTATCTAAGAATTTTCTGTTTAATTCAAGACTGTGAAGATTTAATCCCGTGTTTTCTTCTAAAATTTTTATAATTTTTGCTTTTATCTTAAGAGTTCTGATCCACTTGAATTAATTTAGGCATATGATGTAAAGTGAAAGTTTATCTGTTTTCCTGTGTTTTTTCAATTTTCCAAGAATCATTTGTTAAAAAGGCTATCTTTTCCCCCATTTAATTGCTTTGGTACCTTTGGTTAAAAAACCAAACCAAACCAAACAAAATAAAAAACCAACTGATGATAAATACAAGGGTTTATTTCTGGACTCTTCATTCTGTTTTGCTAATACCTCTCTCTTTGCGTCCATTTATCTCGATACCAGCACCACATCATCTTGGTTACTGTGGCTTTGTGGTAATGTTTGAAGACAGGAAGTGGCAGTCTGAGTACTCCAGCCTTGTTATTTCCAAACCATTCTGGCTATGCTGGGTCTTCGGTATTCTTTTTACAATTATCTTGTTAATATTTGCAAAAAAATTTTTGCTGAGGCTTTGACAGGGATTACATTGCATCTGTAGACTAACTTGGGGAGAACTGATAATCTTAATAACATTAAATCTTCTAATCCATGAATATGTGCTACCTGATATATATATTTTTTCAGTAGGGATCAAACCCAGGGCCTTGCTCATACTATGCAAGTGCTCCACCACTAGGCTAAATCACTGAGCCTTTGATGATACCTTTTTTTAATTTTTATTTTTTTTGGCAATACTGGAGTTTGAACTCAGGGCCTACACCTTGAGCCACTCTACCAGCCCAATCCCCTTTTGTGATTTTTTTTTTTTTTTTTTTTGAGATAGGGGCTCGAGAACTATTTGCCTCGGCTGGCTTCAAACCACAATCCTCCTGATCTCTGCCTCCTAAGTAGCTAGGAATACTGGTGTGAGCCTTTGCGCCCACCTGATGATATACTTGTTAAAAATACATATGATTTAGAAAGTGTTTTGAAACAATTCCATTATGTCAATGCTTCTCAGATAAAAAAATCTATTTTGATTGAAGGTAGCTTTAGGATGAATATAAAAAACAACGTACATTATTTTTTACTTTCAAACAACCACAAAACAAAAGACAAGATGGCAGTACAGACGAAATAACCTTTTTTGCTCTTGAATTGTTTGATGGTGAGTCACCAACTGGATGTCCCATCAACCCCAAATACTTGAGGGAGTATTTCCAACAAACAAGTGTATTTTCCTCCATAAACCAACTAAGCCATCAAAATGTGAAAATGGATACACTTCTTCCATCCCAGTTCAGACCTTATTCAAGTTTCGCCAGCTACATCTGCGAAGATTACAGGCACTCAGGAGGTGTGCCCTGGGCTTTGGTGTCTGATGTTTCCCCATGAGGAGATCCAGTTGAGCATCCCTGGCAGTGTCACAGTAGGAGGGAAACCATTCTCCCCATCCAGCCAAAGGGTGGTTCAGGACTTCACCCACCACTGTTGTCGCCACCATTCTGACCACTCTGCTCCAGCTTCTCCACTGTGAAGTTTCCCTTTGTAATTAATAATTATTTTGTGGATGGCTACTTTACAAATCCTTGCTCCTCATCAGGATTTCAATTGCTCATCTATTTATAGCTGAAAAGCTGGATAACTTCTTCTTCGATTCAAAATGGTTCAATAAGTGGTAACTGTTAGTTTGATGCATAGCTTGTTCCCAACTGGCTCTCTTTAAATAGGCTCTTCTGTTTCACATGGCCCTAGTATTAGAGCATTTCCTTACTTTCTAGTTCAAAATACATTTCAGGGTCATTTTGTACATCTTGTCCCAGCCCTGAAAGTTAGCTACTTACTGAAGGAGCCCAAGTCCATTTTAGAGGAAAAGAGTGTTTAGTAGCCATGATACAGTTGCTATGTGGACTCACTGCTTCTGGGGTGTGGCTGCTCCCAGCTCCTTTCATGCACAGAACTAGGGAATGTATGGAGATGTATTAATTTCAACCATCATACGTACAGAGCACATTTACATCTGTATTTCTAAATGTATCAATGTATGCTGAAAAGCCTATGTTCTCACAAATATACCTAATTCCAACCCAACATCTCAGAGTTAAGAGTACATTGTGTTTCTAATGCTCTTTGCCAACACAAAGGAATCCTGCACCATTATTCCTCTGCAGAAAGCAATCTCCCTCCACTGCTGCTTCCTCCCCTTGCCTGGCTCCTACACCCCAGGCTGGCCACATTTCTGTGTGATGGTCTTCTCCTGCCTGGGCCCTCATATCCACAGTGAGCTGTTACACCACTTTGATGCCCACCCCCATGCCCTCCCTGTACACTTCCCAGCACAGTCTCCAGAGTGAACCCACCTTAAATTTTACACCCTCAGTGTCTTCTGCCTCGCCCTACTATCAGACCTGCTGACATGCATGAGACTTTCATATTAGTGGTTGTGCACATAAGACCCAAGGCTATTTGTTTTGTTTTGTATAAAGCAAGCTCTATGGAATCTGTTTGTACAGTATTTTAGAAAATGAAGAGGTTTACAGCCATTCTGTGTTTGTTTTTTTGTCACAGGGGCAGTCAACAGAACACTGTGATTTTGAAGTTTCTGAATGAATTTGTAGGGAAGACGTTTGGTCAGTAAAGGATAACTCCTTAAAGACCTCATTGCAACTAGTGAGTCGCATTGAGAACAGACTTTTCCTTCAACAAGCTCTTTCTCTGCGTTTTGTGGGGCATGAAGCTGGGTAAGCCTCAAAGCAACAAGTCTCCCATTTGCTGGCTTTGCTTTACTAGTCCCTCCTTTGCCAAATGAATGCAGGCCTCCTATGGAGGTGGACAGTCAAAGCAAGCTCTGCCTCCTGCTCAGTTGGCACTGATGTCTACAGGCATTTTTTCCCAAGGGGAAAAAAATTACAATACTACTCCACTTAGACTGACACCAAAAAGTCATTAACTATTTCATTTATGCAATTCTACTTGCGTTCTCAAAAAGTTTAATTGTCCTAATTAGAATGCCAGTGTTTTAAAAAATACAAGATTAGACTTTAGTACAAGTTAATACTATTAAATATTACAAAGCATTAAAACTAATTGTTCTAGAAGAGTGTTTAAAGACATCAGAAAATATCCATTACAGACCATTAAGAAAAAGACAAAATTATAACAATTAGCTATTATAGCATCTCAATCTTACAAATATGTTAATGTACATTTATTTATAAAATACAAGCATAAAGATTTATGGGTAAAATCATCTCATGTTGTGTTTCATTTAAAATGCTTCATTTAAAAAGTGGGGGGGAGGGAAGAGGGCTGGAGGCGTGGTTCAAGCAGTACAATGCTTGCTTTGCAAGCACAAAGTTCTGAGTTCAAACCTCAGGACCACAAAAAAGTAAATAAAAAAAAAAAAAAACCAAAAAACAAAAAACAGAATTGGTCAAAAGTTGAAGCTGGGTCATGGATATTAGTGTTTACTTCAGTATATTTTATATAGTTATATGTATTTGAAAATGTTACAAGTATGCAATATCAGGCAATAAATTCTGAAAGACTGTACTCCAAAATGCTAAAAGTAGGTATTTATTGATATCACCCTTTATTAGACTATGATTATTGATGGCTTTTTTTTTTTTGCATTTCTAACATTTTATTGATGAATAAAAAGAAATGAAGTGCCAAGAAAGGAGCACCTACTCACTGAACCATTCATCCTCACCTGTAAATGTTTGCTGAGCACTTGCTACACCAGCAGGAGCAGGCTGTTGGGTGGAGAGCAGCAAATAGAGCTGAGCTCAGGACTTGTGGGTGCTTCCACAGCTCCAGCATTCCTCCAAATAACGAGGAGGGAGAAGGTGGAAAGGGTCCTCAGATTCAATAAAAATTCCCAGCCAGCATGACTGCCAGGTTTAAGGGCCTTAGCCCCAAGCCTGAGACTCTTTTGATGGTGGGAAATAAGAGCCTCAACAGAGACCTCGAAGTGCCCTGGAGGCTGCAGTGTTGCCCTCTGTAGGTTTCCTCAAAACTCCACAGAGCTGTGCTGCAAAGTGGACAACCACAGGTGCTGCTGTGACCTGGGAGCTGGGCCCTCAGTGAGAGACAGAGACGAGGCATTGGCTGCAGGTCAGGCCTCCTCTGGTGGTGGCAGTACCACCTGACAAGGTCAAAGATCTAAAAGGGAAGTTGTATGATTTAAAAAATCTATGTTTTAAAGATATTAAAGAGGAATCTTACCTGCAGAGGCACCAGAGGACAAATCCAAGTCCACAGTAAGGGTCCAAACAGATGGCCACTTCTCTAGAGGGGTAAAGCTCACACTGCAGCTTAATGGAACGGCAAAAGGCACTGGTGGCTGCGTGGGACATCTGTAAGATGGAGACAGTGGGGGGATAAGGGAGGATGACAGTAAGCCTGCCTTATTCTCAGATTTATCATAAGTGGTTTTGACCAAGTATGGTAATTTTTTTAAATCAAAAGAATTTCAAAACAAAAATTTTAAATTCTGCATGCAATACATGGCTCAGTTAATGTGGTAATGCTCTTGGTCCTGCTATCATCAGACATCATTGTGCTACCTGCTGAGTGTTTCCCTACTTATAATTATGTTAAAATTTGCCTTCCCAAAAGGATATGTTTCCCAAAAAGCAAGATAAAAGTTATGGTAATCCTCTCAAGCCAAAAAGGCTTTATCACATAATGTGCTTAATTGAAGTGATAAAGTGAAAATCTGAGGCTGGTTGAAAGGCAGCTGTCTGTAGCAGAAGTAGGGCAGTGTTACCGGAAGAATGAGTCAAGGATCTGCCATACAGCACTGAGCTACATGCATCCTGAATATTCACAGGTGTTTCCCAATAGTGGTCTTCTTGGAACCGCAGACCCACGACACCAAGAATCTACTATACTGCAGAAGGTATCTAACAAAGTCACTGGGACTTTCTACCAAAACAACCTCAGAGGAAAAGGGAAGTAAAAGAAGCACGTAAGACTGCACCAAGTGCCATGGTTAAATACATGCCACAAGTTCATTTTAACTAGCAGGTCACACAGAGATAAACTATCGAGCCCCATGCCTGTTTTCCCATTCATTCATCACTCCAGCAGAGTTGGAAACCCCTGAGTGGAGAATCCTTTCATTTTAAACTACCCAATCATTGTCAGACGCTCTGCCCTGGAGGAGGTTCCGATGGTACTTCACAGGAATTCATACAGGGTAATGAAGAATTCTTCCAGGATATAAAACTTACATAGCTCTTTTTAGCTTGTTTCATAGCACAGTAGGTATTGAAAGGGGAAATAATTTACAAAGCAGTCCTCTTATCTCCTGCCTCCTTGAACCAAAATCCCCCTACATTCAAGACCAGCAGCAACAGCCAGTCTTTGCTGCACTGTTGCTCTGTGTATTGTATAATTTGTGGCTGGAAAAGCTGAGTTTTTCAGCTTATTGGGAAAATACTGACATACTGAGTGCTTGCTCTGTGTCAGGTACTGTGCTAGGTGCTATGGATTTAAGAAAAGAATGAGGCACAGCTCTGACCTTATCATGTAGGAGGAAATGAGACACGGTTGATAAACCAAGAGCTGTCAGTACTCTGACCAAATGAATAACTTGTAAAGCGAGCAAAGAGAAAGGGTGCTCACAGCACCCCGTGGTTATCTAAAGTAAACTACAGGTGTTGTAGGAGTCCTTTGTGTGATCTTCTCATTGATCTTTTAAAAATTATTTTGGCAATACTTTTCCTTGAACTCAGGGCTTTGTGCTTACTAGGCAGGCACTCTACCACTTAAGCCACACTTCCTCCTTACTGATTGAAGCAAATGTGTATTGAAGATCTATAAGGAGCCTTTAAAGTTCAAAATCAGACTTTCAACAGACAAAATTACAAAACTTAAACAGTGCAACACGTACCCACGTATTTTATGAACTCACCCATTCCACAGTACCCGTTACAGAGAAAAAGCTCACCCTTCTCTTATGGTATGCACAATTGCACATGAGGTTAAAAGTTGAAACTTAATAAAAATTTCTTTCTGACAAAATTAGCTACCTCTGCAACCCATGAGACCATGGAGATGGCAAGGAATTCCTTCTGAGCAGACACTACACCAGGCAATTCAACCTCTATTCTGTGCTTCTGGTATTTAAAGCACAGCGTTTTTCACTAACTGACATCATAATGTATTTACTTTAGGTATTCGTCAAACAAATTAAATGGTCAAGCGCTTAAGAAAAACTTCAGTAAGTTTGGGAGAAAGTCTATTATTCATCTCTGTGGACTTGCTATGGTGGGTAACTGCGACTAAGTGGAATCCCCAGAAAGCAATAAACGTAGATCACGTTATCTCTGTTTCGTGCACAAACATCTTTATGAATCAAGATTCAAGATTACCTTCCACTTCCTTACTCCATGAAAATGATCAAAAGTATGTGTTTCTCTTTTGGCTGCGATAGAAGAGGCTCAAAGCTAACTTCAGTACTATGCAAACAAACTCACCTTGCTCTGAAGATATTTCTTTTTAAAAAACTTTTGAAAATTATTATTATTATTATCATCATTATTATTTTGTGGTACTAGGACTTGAGCTCAGGGCCTTCACCCTGAGCTACTCCACCAGCCCTGCTTTTTTTTGTGAAGGATTTTTTTGAGATAGGGTCTTGAGAACTATTTGCCCAAGCTGGCTTTGAACCGCGATCCTCCTGATCTCTGCCTCCTGAGTAGCTAGGATTACAGGTGTGATCCACAGCGCCCGGCTTGAAAAATTATTTAAAACAACATTTAATTTTACCTAATAGTGTAGTCAACTTACTTAAATACCATCTCAAATTCTACTAAAAGACAGAATCTGAGAACTGAGTGAAGTAAATAAAGCAAACTCCTTGGTATCACCTAGAGACAGAGATGCTGGCAAAGTCTTCCTGGGGCTACAGAGAAGTAAAGGGTGCCATTGCTCTGCCATCATCTGAGCTGTGAGAGCCCCAATTCTCAGGGACATATTAGCAGTGCACTTGTGGACATGAAATAGGATCACGGCAGCTACCTTGGGCAGCATCAGACAGTTTTTAATGGAGCCCATGTGAAAAAAATCAAGAAACTGAAGTGTGCAGAGATGTAGAACCAGGCATGAGGATCTGAGAACCGGCAAGCAAGCAAACATAGGCAATGTTTATTATGGACTAGTGAGACTGTGACAAAACAGAAAACCTTTGGAACACCTGTAAAGAATGACTTGGGCTCATGAACTACTGAAAGTTGTACCTCTTATACCATGCCTGAAAAGCGCATACATGCTTCTGTCTGAGTGTCACCAGAGTGCTGTCATACATATGAACATGAGCTGACCACCATGCACAGCCTGTCAGCTGACACAAGCCCACTCCTCACCTTTACGCCAGCTAGCATCCCAGTTGTGGATACACTGAAGTCAAGATAGGCCAGCGTGTCTGGGTTGGAAGGTTTGTAGATCTGGGCAGGCCGCTTCTTTGGCAAGTCATCTATAGAAAAAAAACCAAAGCTATCGGTTTGTCTGCCCTCATTCAAGACCATATTGAGCGAAAGCATCCAGCCAGCCAGTGCTGACCTGTGTCCAGTATGAGAGGCCATGCCCTGACATCTACAGCTGCTGCTGCTTCCCTGGACCGTAGGAGTTTACAGATCAGTTGTGTTGTCATCAGACAGGCAGAGCGGCTCACCTGAGGGACAGAGAGACAAGAACGGAATGAATAAACACGGACCAGAAATGAGCAAATATACGGCACGTTCATCACATGTGTGCTTGTGTATGTGTTCACCATACATGTTAAACCACACAGCTTAACAGGAAGATTGGATTCCCTAGAGCACTGTCTCCTCTAAAGAGCCAGCATGGGCAACTGAGGTCCCCACTCCTGCACTGCTGAGGGCTGACTACTGCCAGTGTTTTGGTCACATCCAGGAGAGCATTAAACTTCTTCTCCACACCTGAAGAATATCAGGACTTCCCACTCTCTCACCACTAGCTCTATTTTTCCTTTTTTGGGTGGTACTGGGGTTTCTTTTTTTTTTTTTTTTTTCATTTTTCTTTTATTATTCATATGTGCATACAAGGCTTGGTTCATTTCTCCCCCCTGCCCCCACCCCCTCCCTTACCACCCACTCCTCCCCCTCCCGCTCCCCCCTGCAATACCCAGCAGAAACTATTTTGCCCTTATTTCTAATTTTGTTGTAGAGAGAGTATAAGCAATAATAGGAAGGAACAAGGGTTTTTGCTGGTTGAGATAAGGATAGCTATACAGGGCATTGACTCACATTGATTTCCTGTGCGTGGGTGTTACCTTCTAGGTTAATTCTTTTTGATCTAACCTTTTCTCTAGTTCCTGTCCCCTTTCCTATTGGCCTCAGTTGCTTAAGGTATCTGCTTAGTTTCTCTGTGTTAAGGGCAACAAATGCTAGCTAGTTTTTTAGGTGTCTTACCTATCCTCACCTCCCTTGTGTGCTCTCGCTTTTATCATGTGCTCAAAGTCCAATCCCCTTGTTGTGTTTGCCCTTGATCTAATGTCCGCATATGAGGGAGAACATACGATTTTTGGTCTTTTGAGCCAGGCTAACCTCACTCAGAATGATGTTCTCCAATTCCAGGTACTGGGGTTTAAACTCAGCACCTAGCAAGCACTCTACCACTTGAGCTCAATTCTACTAAAGAGTGTCACACATGTGCAGAAATGACAAGTACTTCCAGCAGGAGTCTGTGCCATGGAAGTACTCCAACATGAGTTCTTAATCTGACTAATTTTGCTTCTCAGGGCTCCTCCTCCAATAGGGAAAACCACTTTCCAATCTTAAACTTCCCCAGATGCAAACATGTAAAAACATATCTCTACTCTCAAAAAGGAACACGGTGGCCCCTAAATCCAGAGAGGAACTTCCTAAAATGTACTGCTTTCCCCTTTGGTTTGCTTGGCTGGCTTTAGGGGGAAGCCCCGCAGTGTGGTGGGGGTAGCCTATGGGGAGCTGGCTTCTCAATTGCCATGCGCTGAAGTACCTGCTACCAAGTACTCGTACCAAGTACCCTGTTTCACACCTCAGCTTCAACTCTTGCTTCCAGACCTAGCTGATAAGCTCCCTCAAGGTGGCGGTGGGGACATTAGTGTCCTGTCACTTTGAGTCCACACACATACACACAGGCCCATAGCCAGCAGCAGCCACCATAGGAGATTTTAGGTCAGTGACCTGCAGCTCAACACTCTGATGAGGCAGGTGAAGTGCCCACACCCTTCCAGGTCTGTTACCTCTACAATCATCTTGACTGTAGGCAACGTGGTCGCGATGTTCTGCGGGTGTGGAGGACGTACGGTGATTGGCACGCAGCCCGCATACAGGCAGCCATAAAATGCTGCAATGAGGTCTATGCCTGCACAAGGAGGAGGACAGAAACTCTTACTAGAAGCAAATCACATCTCTTTTTCTTCTTTGCAGTGTTGGGATTGAACACAGTACCCACAGTGGAAGACCTTGGCAGGGGCTCTGCCACTTGAGCCATGCTCCCAGCTCTTTTGTTTTTATTTTGTTTCTGAGATAGGGTTTCACTAACTTTGCTGGTGCTGGCATCCAACTTGCAATCTTCCTGTCTCCACCTCCTGAGTAGGTGGGATTATAAGCATAAACCACCTAGCCAAATCTCATTTTTTAATGACTGCCATCACAGTCAGCATAAATTCTAGTATGGGAAAAGTCAGAGAGTGAAGCAAGCAATCAAACCTTAAGGAGACTCCCTTCCTCCCTGAGCATTTTGGCAAGCCTTAGCCAACACTTTCATTTGGCCTGTTCTTTAAAGTAGAAGCCACCAAAGAAGCCCAGACATTTCATTTCTGTGTCATTTCTCTCAGAAGTTACCCAATTCTACGACTGCCAATTTAGTACTGAAAGACTTAACTACTATTAAGTGAACTATCTAAGTTCTCTAACAACGAATTTAGGTACAAAAGTTTTGATTAATATTAGTTTATTTAAGCCTCTAACACATGGGTTCATCTCTGTGCATGGGAGTAACTAGAGATAAGTGAGCCCCATTAGAGTTCAGCTGGATACAGTAATCCTTTTCAGCAATAATCCAGAAACTCTATACAAGGGCAGAGGGTGTCAACTGTGTGCCTCATTCACAAATGCTGACCTCACCACTTCTCAGGTCTGAGTCCTGCTCTTTACCTGGTGGGTAGACTAAAGCCACGTGGTCTCCGTCCTGTAGGTGACCCCTTTCCATCAACATCACAGCTATCTTCTCAGCACGCTTATGCAGCTGGACACACGTCAGTGAGTTGGCTATTGTACCCTGAGTATCACAAGAACGAGTGGTTACACAACACTCTTTGCCATGACTGCTATTGGGAGGTAGTTCACACATCATACAATTCACTTATTCACATGTGCGATTCAGTGGTTCTTGGTACATTCACAGGATTGCACGACCATTTTAGGTTTCCCTCCCACCACCCAAACCCTCCTGTATCACTAGAAGTCAATCTCTTTCTCCAGCCAGGTAAGAAGTATGGCATCAAAGAGGCATTTAGATATACTGTGGTTCACATGAAAATTTTTTAAACAAATTATTATCTGAATTTAAAGAACAGTCATTTTGTGACTTCAGTACCACTGTCACTGGCAATAGGAATTAGTACTAAATCTGCAGGACTCATATATTAAGAAATAAAACCAGTTACAAATTTTTATTAAGAAAAGCCAATTCAAAAATTAAGGAAGTCAAAAGGCAAAAAAAAAAAAACAAAAAACCTAAAGAAAAAAGAATACACAAATCTACTTTCATGTAAACTTTTTAAGTATGTAGAAATAAACAGAAAATAATACTTTTACTTTAAAAAAATACCTTAAAAGAGGGTTATTAGGGAAGATTAGTAGTGAGATAGGTAGTAGGAAATATCAAAAAAGTATGGGATTCACTGTTGCAAGAAAAGTATTTAACAATGCAATTACAGCCAGGCATGGTAGTATACACCTGTAATCTCAGAACTTGGGATGCTGAAGGATTGAGAGTTTGAGGCCAGCCTGACTCAAAAACAAACAACAAATAAAAACCACACAAATTATAAACATTCAGCTAAAAATATTTTCCTGAGGACAAATTTTACAATTAGAATTCATTTGTGTCATTCCCAGATGTGAAGATATTAATGTGTACAGCAATTCTAGAAACTTCTTCCATACGATCAAGTTCTGTCTTAAAGCAACTAACAGGCCTTTCTGTAAGGGGTATTCTGTTCTGGCCAGGAGTCTACAGAATGAGGAAAGCTACAGAAGCTGCAAAGTGATCCTGGACAACCTGAGTTGAACACTTCTTCAACGGCAGCATGAAACAATGGTGTGGGAGCTGGTGGGAGTCACAGAAAAGCACAGTGAGGTCTAGAGACTCAGAGACTGAACCTCAACAACCCAAGGGTTATGTGAGGAGGTGATGTCCAAATGGATCTGGTGGGAGGAGTAGCAACATGGAATAATGAGAACCGCAAAGGAACCAAAGTGATCAGAGCCTCTGGGGCAACATTAGGAAAAATACATCACAATTGCCACCCTGAATGACCCACCTGTGTGCCACCATAGCACAGGTATTGGAGTGGTAAGGGACTGATGGAAGAGAAAGAGAATTTTATGTGTTTAGATACACATGCTGACTATTGGTACTTAGCAAAAGCATTAACTACTGGTTATCACAGTGAGCTCTGGGAGATCAAGGCACCGTCTCAATGACCTCCACACAGAAAGTCAGGGCAGCACAAGACCTGAGTAATGGCCCCATTGGCCTTCAGACCCTTCCTACTGATGCTGTGGCTGTTTTTTTTTTTTTTTTCATGGTGATGTTTGGCTTACATGTCTCTGAATTAAAGCTTCTCATTTCACATACTTTCTATAATTATTTTTTTTCAGAGGAAGGTGAAAAAATAAAATAGAAAGAGATACATAAAATAGAAGACAGTTAGGTATGCCTATAATCAACTCATAAGGTTGAGGTGGGAGGATTGGGAGTTGGGAGACCAGCCTGGGAAATACACCAAAACTTTGTCAATCAATCAATCAGTCAATAACAGAAAAACTAGAAAGCAGAATGTAGCAAAGATGGGTTAAAAGCAAAAAGACTGTGAATCTAGAAAATCTAGCCAAAAAGTTAGACTTTGATGACTATAAAGATCAGTATTCGTCTGAGCATTTACCCACGGAGACCACAGCTGCTCACAAGAGCCAAAATGCACACTCCCTGACTCAATTGCCCAGGAGTTCTTCAAAGTGATTATGGATCAGAAATGCAAAGCAGAGCTGATGGTGATGCCGGGTACCACCTCAGTCCTCACATTGGTGGGGTGGGGGTGAGGGCCCCATCCAAGTCCACCCTGAATACTGCAGTGTGCTGGTCTTTTTATAAGAAAGTCAGCCTACCACCTACTGTCAGGGAAAATGGAAGAGCAGCAGTAGTCTCAGAAGAGAGAGTTGGTGGAACTGGCTAACCCTTCTCTTTCTACCCAGGGGACCTTCCTGTTCTGCACACTTCCCTCACCACTGGGCTGCTGTCCAGGTTACAATATGCCCATCTCAGCCCACAGTTTGTACAACATCTGTGACTAATTTTTCTCCTTATCTTTGGGACAGCTAATGATCCCTACTAGGGTTTGGATATGGTTCAAGTGTTCCCTAAAGTTTCCTGTGTTACAATTTAATCCCAACTGTGAGGAATTAAGAGGAAAGAAACTTAGTGTGTTTAGAGGTGGGATTTTGGATAGTGACTAGGATTAGACAATGTCATTAGAACGGAATATCATTATTAAATCTTGATGGCTCTGTAAGACGAGAAAGACCATATACACACGTGTGTTCCCTTTCCCTTGCTATGTGATGCTCTGCATTGCCTCAGGATTGTGCTGACAAGAAGGCCGTCACTAGAAGAGCCATCAAACTTGCACATCCAAAACTGTGAGCCAATATAAAACTGTTTCTTTATAAAGTGTCCAGGCTCAGGAATTTCATTATAGTAGCAAAAAATGGACCAATTTCCTAACAAAACCTACCTTTTCTGGCAGAAGACAAAGCCCACTCTGAGTCCCAAGATTTGAAAAGCTTGGATGAGACACAACCAGCAGCTGGGAGTGTATCTGAAAATATGTTTAGATTCTACTTCGGGAAAAATTCCTACCCATGGGTCCTTACAAAATGTGAAATTTAATTCACATGCTGTCTTTTATTTTTGATAACCTTCTGAAACACAATTTTCACAAAGGGCAAATCCTTTTACGGAGTCAGTACCAAAGTGAAGAGCAAAGCTTCTAGACACACTGTGATAATGGCACAGAGGAGGGGCACTCTTTGCAGGAACTGGGTTCTGAAGTTAGCATGTGCAATGATTTGAAATTAATTAAAACCATCCTCAAATCCCTTAAGAAGATGCTGTGCTAAAAAAGGCCTCTCTCCCACGAGAAGTCTAATATAAGCAGTTTTTCCTCCACAGCTGGGGCTATGTCACCAGGTGACCAGGGATGGGTGACTTTTCTGCCTGGAAAGGAAATACTGCATGAGCAATATTGAACACTGGAATCCCAGTGAGTGGGTACTGGTGTGTGGAGATCAGGTTTCCCAATTACCCTTCCTCCAGTACAGAGGAATGACTCAGAGTACACTGGCAGCCCAGGTGCCAATAACAAGCTTAATGAGTGTCTTTCTTGATCCTCTTCTTTTCCCCAGCTGAATGTGACATGACTCCACCATACAGTAGGGCTACAACATGACACAGGTCACATGTGGACACTGCTCATTATCATTTGCTCTTTGAGATCATCTTAAGACAACCTTTTACCTTAAGAGAAACACCACTGGTTTTCTATATGTGATTCACTTTCCCAAGAACCAGTTGCTAAGAAAAAAATGAAACATTCTAAGTGAGTGGTCCAGTAAAGCAATAGCCAGGCACCCTCAGGTAACAGTCATCATTAACATTTATGGAAAAACTGAGATTTCCACACTGAAGACTGCTGAGTAAGAAGGTTTCTAGGTAAATTGATTTCACCCAAAGTTAGGACCATTTTCAAACAAAGTCTTGGAAGTGTTTATGACAGAATGCTAATGCAGAGAAATCCACCAGCCAAATGTTATTCTAAAGAAAACAAACTTCAGTATCAATAACTCTGTTTGATACCATTTTAAAGTTTTATACTAATCAAATAGCAACTAAAATAACTGAAGAATGAAGAAAAAGCCAAACATATGTATTTTAACATTCTAAGTCTGTTATTGGAAGTTAAAAAAAAATAACTGTTTGCTGGTGTTTCTGTAAAACAAAACAACAAAAACCAAAAATGACCTCCCCTAAAACAAGAGAAACTTTTGTATGTAAAGTAGTTTCAAAAATATAAGTTTTTCATTATTTGCCACGAATTATATCCTCAATTTCTACCATAAATTTTGTCCAGCAACTCACATCTGATTACTTTTGGCAAAGGAGAGAACATGAATAAATACTGTGTGCAACCAACAGAACACACCACTCATACTTATGAGCTAAAAACTGTTCAACCATTTAAAATGAGCCAATGGGAAGCAGTGGCCAAATTCATAATCAATAGAAATTCTCTGTCCAAGATGGAAGCACTAACTGTGCGTGGCTACCAAACCCTAGAAAGGCAGTTGGTGACATATACTAACAGGGAAACATGTTAAGGACCTCATTATTATAATGAACCACACCGCTCCTTCCGATTCTTTGGCATATGTTTTTTTAGAAAACATATAATTACACATAGAGCTTGTTTTGTATTTCTGTTGGACAGCACTGAAGTAGAAAGTTGATTTAAGTAGAGAGTACGCTGTAGCCACTATCAGATGCTGCTTCCCATTTGTTGCAGGTTGACCAACTATAAGTGTTCACATAAGGTAGCAAAGAATGGTAAGGGAACACAGATATTTGTATCTGACCCTTTCAAGAGAATAACAAAAACAAAGCTATGCCCTTTTAAACAGCTCAGGAAGGTCCTGCCTCCACACTAAGAGAGCTTCAGGAAGCAGCATGTCACATCGAAAAGGAGAAGGTATCCTTGGACCATCTTTTCTGCATGCTAATCTGAAGTAAATTTATTCACAGTTTTTGTACCCTATGACATATTACACCTGACTTTCTGTTGTCTTTACTGAAGCTATTTTAAAGCTTATGAGTTATTTCTAGTAAACATTTCCCCAGAAGATCCAATGTCTCACTACAGCAAATGACTGTAATCATAGGGGCTCAAGGGCATGGCCAATTTCACAGGGTCAGACCAATTAGACACCAGGCCTGGTGCTCCAGCATCACTTCAGTGAGCAACATGAGGGTTCGTCCCTCAAATTAGATGCAGCTAGAATATCACTATCTTCCTCCTCCTGTCCAGCAACGTATCACAACCCATTTTGAATCTTTACATTTACAGGGGTCTACTGCCTCTTGAGACATCCATTTATACCTCCAGAATGTTTAGACAAAGATATTTATCCATCCTATAAATCTGGGATCAATAAATTACACAATGTTGGGAGAAGAGTTTCAAAAACGATTCAGACTTTTGGAAGTGATAGTGGAAGTCTTTAAGGAGATACTGAGACTATAGAGAAAGAAATCATGAGCAGCTTACAGGAGAAACACCACATGGAGAAAATAAGGAGGGTCAAGGAAGAAGTGACCAAAGAGAAACTTGGATAGCATCACAGCTGCTGAAGAAGGTGAGTGATCAACTGTGCTGGGAAGGTAAGAGTCATCTATGTTCATGAGGACGGATCCAGTGAAGAATAGAAGGTGGAATTTTAGACAAAGATTTGTAGCAACTGAACCCTCAAACCTCAGACTCTGCCAAGTGCCTATAGGCAACTGGATCCATGAAAGCTGTGAGTGTGAGGGTTTGCTCAGAGGGAAGGAGCTCCACCATAGTCAGGGAGCACAGGGGCCACTGGGAAGTGGGAAGATGGTCTTTCCTGACTCTCAGGACTTTTCCTTGAGAAGAAGCAGTGCACAAAGGGCCACAAAAACCAAAGCTGCACACAAGACAACCTCAAGATTATAAGCACCTCTATGGTGGAAGAGGGTGAGAGGTATTTAGATGAACTAAGTCATATGCTAAGAATGTTCTTATAACTAGAAACCCATATTAAAGGTTAAGGATTAATTTAGTTGTTGACTTTTCCTTTTGTCATTAATCTGCTGCTTCATATGGCAAGAGGCACCTCTTTGTACTCTAGGACTTTGAGACTTAGCAACTCTAAACAACCATAAATTTCAAAGAGTTGCAGGCACCCATATTTGCCAAGGCCTACATTTGAAATCTATTTTCCAAGCTTTGTTTTTGTAACAAAAAAAAAATTAACAAGCATATTAAGATTTTGCATTTAACTTTTATTGTTAACATTTGCTTGTGTATTTAAGACCTGACTCCTAAGTACTATTATGGGATATTTGATGACTTTGATTTCCAAATGGGAAATGGAAACAGAAGCTTTATGTTTATAAAATAGGCATGATTTTTATTCCTGAATCTGTAATTAATGCCTAACTTCTTATGTATAAAAAGTAGTTCTGTAATCATAACAAAAATGAGTGTCTCATGCGTCTGCAACTGTTCTCTGTTGTAGATATCATTAAGCACTGGTTTTTGAGCTGGAAATTTGCAAACAGGATAGCTATAGCCACATCCATAAACAGGTACATGTAGATTATATTTAAAAGCAAGCCTTAAGTAAAAAGAAAATCTTAGTCACAACAGCAAAACAAAACAAAACAAAACTCCAAATAAACAGAAGGAATTCACTTAGGACTGAAGGCAAAGGTTTAAATCAGGAATGTTTTATAGCAAGAGCACCTCCCAGGAACCGTTCAGATCCGACAAGGTAAGCAACGAGGAAACGCGAGCTCCGCATGCCTCACCCGACAGTTGAGCAGCGTGTACAGCACGTGGTCTGGGGTGGTCTGCGCCCTCCACTGCAAGACCTCTGAGAGGAACAGGAACTGGAAGAATGGAAAGGGCGTCAGTGTCACGCCACTGGAGTCTGGGCTGGGCATCTCAACATTTAAGTAAAAATAAATTATCCAAGTGCATTTGGAAGTCTTAAGGTACTATGCTTTCAGGACATTCTTAGAAAAAACTCTGACAAATATATAATCAACAGAACAAGCAAGTGCTTATACTTCTTTCCTGTAGTGACTTAGAATGCACCTGACTTAACTCGACATCCCAAAGGGGTTGTTGGCAAGTTGCCTTTGTTGGGCAAGTTCTTTAAAAGTCAATCCAAGGATGGGGAGAATTATTTCCCTTACGTGCAAAGGTAGCTGACATAGCAAATTCTTTCTTCTGGGGTAGCCAGAAGATGCAAAGCTGATTTTTGTGGACTGCAATGACAGATCTATCGCCTTAAAAAATGGGCTCTATTAAATTTATGTTTTTAGAATGGCAATTCTCTGGGTGTCATTTAACTGCATTGCAAATTACAGGTTACATGCGCTGTATTGATTTGTTCTGTAATAAAAAGGACAGCCCTATCTCATGTCAGGGTAGAGTAAACAGCCATGCACAGCCCTAATCCCTTTTACTAATAGAAATGTACTGTAAGGGTGGGGCCAGGATCAAGTGCTTTCAATGAAAAAACTGCTATATGTTACTACACTGGCAGTATCATAAATGGCTGGCTTTGTCATATTTCCTAATAGCTTATATAGAATGGGACCACCTTTTGGTTAAGGGAGACAGGGTGTCTTCTGATGAAACTTAGATGCTATCAAGGCTGAATGGCTATAATGGGGACTCACAGCTACCCAGGATAAGTTGTGTCCTATGTGGGTGGAAGGGGTTCAAGGATTTCTCTTGCAGGTGCAGTTAGGAGATTTGGCTGGCAAAGACCAAAGGACAGAAGAATGTAAGTAAGGCCAGTGTGTGTCAGTGTAGGCGTCATATCAGGGCTGGGGGATAGTTAGGAGTGAGTGGTGCGAGGACACCAAGATGGGATGATTTCCAAACACTCTTCTAAGTCCTGCCAGTTGTGGGAAGACACCACTAACTAACTGCTGTGCCACTGTGAAACTTTCTAAAACATTGCATCCCCTAATAAACATATTTCCCTTACACGATGGCACACACAGCTGTCTTTTATATAGGACAAACACTAAAGATGCACCATCAGTAGTGGATGTGGAGCTGGCACAGTGGCAAATTCTGGGGACAGTCACTCTGTGCCATGGCATCTACTTCAGCTCTGGAGTCAAGGGGACGTGTGTGCTCTGAGCCTCAACTCTTACCTTCCGGGCCTGGTCGTTGTCTTCTATCTGACCCAGGTCTCTGCCACTAGCTTGGGCAATCCTCTTTCCAGACACCAAGTTTCCCACCATCACAGAGGCAGGGCCAATTTCTAGAAGGAAACAGAAGCATGAGTTTGGAGACAACAAAAGGAAATTCCTAAAGACATAATTCCCCACCTTGGTAATGAGTTTCCTCTGAGAAAACCTTTCAAGTGACCTGGCTTTCACTAACTCTTATTAGAATAGGTTTCAAAGACATCACCGAAATGATAATAATGATAAGTAAAACCAAACAAGCCTCAGTGAGGGGTTACATACAAGTAATATTTTCGTCCTATGTGAAATCCTCTTAGTTACCCTCTAAGCCATTTTCCAGTAAATGTGAACCTAGGGGTACTGATACATATTCACAAAAATGGTTACGTAAATTATACAGAAGACAAACAGAGAATTTTAAAACTCCATACACTTCACTGGAAGTAGCTAGAGACTTTGGGATTATGTTTATTCTTGATCTGTGGTGTTTCTGGCCAAAAACAAATTATAATACATAAACAAATACCTTTTGGGATGGATTTAGAGAGTAATACTGTTGAGGGACATGATAGAGAATCACTTATTCATATATTTTACTGACTCATAAAATTTTAGGCTATCAGGCCCACAGTGAGATGTGGAAGATAAACTGAAAGGCTATGGTAAAATCAAAGTTCTTCTTCATTCCACTGTCGCAGACTCAATTGCTAATGCTATTTCTGTAGTTTCTGAGAACATTTTGAAAGAGAAAAAAAGATATGTGCTTTCATTTTATGAAATAAATAAGTTTCTCAGAGAATTGTAGAAACTCAAAATTTCTCACTGTTCTAGAAACCCCAGGTGTCATCTAGGTCCTCAAAATACACATCTTCTGCTTATTAAACACACATGTACAAACCAAGGTATAGGAAGAGGTTAGATATTCTAGAACATATTCCATTGTGTGAAAAGTGTACAAGCATGGGCCTTGGTGGGGAGGAAGGGAGAGAGGGAGAGAGGGAGAGAGGGAGAAAGAGTACAACACTTTCCAAAAGAATTTCAGTAGACAACAAATTGGCATTATCAATTTATGTTTAATTCTTGGTTTGATAAAATATAAGTTGAAAGCTACCATTAAGTAGAGTTGTTAAACTTTTGATGAAGGTGAACTTGCATGTTTATAACTGAGGGTACATGAAGAGCCTTTGTAGCTAAGCAAATTATTTACAAAACATATCAAACAAGTGAACAAAACCCAAACAGAATGCAGGTCAAGGGGTATAGAGGCAAAGAATAAGGCTTCTAATGGGCCAGTTCCCATGACACCCATCTTAGTAGTCGTCTTGGATTCCCCTTACTTACCAGAATGATGGCTCATGTTCAAGGCAGTTTACTGCCCTACATCCTTTGGTGGAGAACAGGGCACTCACTCTTCCCTACACAGTTGCCTATAGTGAATTTAGTCCAGGCAGGACTGGAATGTGGAGACTTTTCTAAGCCACAGACTTCTGGCCTCCTGTCTGTTAGTGTCTTTGGTTTTAGGCAATTTATTGGGGCTTGATGCCAGGTTCTGTGGAATCAGAAGAATGTGCCTGAAAAATTCAGCTAAGCCATTTTTGAATTTCTCCGTGTGGTACTTGTGAACAGGCTAATTTATTCATTCTTAATAAAGTAACTATGAAATAGTCTTTTCACATTGAACAAAACAACAAGAAAATCTAGCAATGTGCTAGTTGCGGGAATGAATGGAGCTGCTGTTCTGTGGTTGCAGTAGAAACATCTGACTTAAGTGCTTCTGAAGATAATTAAACATGCCAGGAGTCAGTGTTCTTGCTCTTCAGCCACTTCTGTTCTATTTGCTGCTTTGGGGGAGAAGGAGATGTGACTAGGGTTTGATCTCAGGGCTTCACTCTCGCAAACCAGGTACTCTGCCACTTGAGCCACACCTCCAATTCTCTTTGATCTAGTTATTTTGGAAATGGGGCATTGTAAAGTATTTTCCCAGGTTGGCCTTGAATCTCAATCCTCCTGATTTCAGCCTTCCAGGTTAAGAGGATTACAGGTGAGAGCCACCAATGCTTAGCTGATACCTGACTTAATGATGCTCATGGTGAAGATGTGATGGGCAAGGTGATTCCTTTAAGAAACCAACTTGGAAACTGGTTTAACGGCATTCATATATATATATATCATCGAGGGAGGGAAGGCAATATTGTATGGTTTCCTTTATTTCTTCTTTTGCTTTTTCAAATTCTCTATTTTTGTTGTCTTGGAATTTCTTGAGTGTCTTCTGTACATTTTGGTTGACCATATCCAGTATCATCTCTATAAAATTCTCACTGAGTACCTGTAGTATGTCTTCTTTTAAATTATTCTTGTGGGCTTCATTGGGTTCTTTGGCATAGTTCATCTTCATTTTGTTGGAGTCTGGATCTGAGTACCTGTTTTCTTCATTCCCCTCTGGTTCCTGTACTAATTTTTTGCTGTGGGGAAACTGGTTTCCCCGTTTTTTCTGTCTTCCCATCATTGTCCTTGGTGTTGTTACTGTCCCTGTACTGTGTGCAGTTAAGGGCAATATTATAGGGAATATGGCATTCTCACATGCTTTACTTTGTGCTCTTCTGTTCCTGGGTAAAATCTCCCCGTGGTAAGGTGATTTCTGCTTGCATCTCTGAAGGTGAAGTCTGGGACCTTCTGTGCCTCTTACCCCACATAGACTTATGCATTAATGTCCCCTGACTGTTGCTTGGAGACAGAAGGCCTTGTTGCTGCACCTCATTTACAAAATCTGTTCCCATCTGGAATCGATGCTCTCTCAGTGTTGATCCGAGGCTGGTGTGTATGAAACACTCTTACTGTGAGTTGCCGTCTCACAATTTGAAAATGGAAGTTGAGATATACCTCCCAAAAAGTGTGTATTTGAGATTCACATTTATCCTCTCTCCAGTTCCTATTTACAGATTTATCTGCAAGCTTGCAATTTTCATATTATCGAATTCCTACCATACAGTACTTGACAAATTCATGTTAGGAAAAGGGCAGATGTTTCATCTCGAAGGGTGCTAAGACACACAGTCCTGGAAGAGAGGTGATATCTGCTCCTTGGGTACGGGGCGCTCTGCGTCTTATTTCTTACAGTGTCCTCTGTCCGTTCTGATGGATAACCAGAGGGGAAGTCATAGCTGTGGACTTGTGCTAGTTTTTATAACTTTTATAACATTGCTAACTCAGATCATTAGGTAAAATGTCCTTTAATGTTTCTGTGCTCAGTTTCATAAGCTCACATACATGTTATTATTAAATGAATAAGTAAGCTTTTCACCTAGTAGAAAAGCTTGGTTGTCTACAAGTTTCTAATTTTAGGAGTTGTCTACAAGTTTCTGTTTTAAGCATCTAACAAAGGCCTTACACATAAAGGGCACGGTAAATGTTTGCTTTGATTGCCAACGATGGCACCTGTTCAGAATTATTTTAAATGTTTGCTCCAGAGGGGACTTGGAAATCATCTTATCTGATTCCCTCAGTGCACATGTGGAAACTGAGGCCCTGGGAAGCATCTCCTAGGGTACAAGACAGGCCATCAGCAGAGCTGGGAACTCTACAGGCTTTTCAGCTCAGCTGCCACTTTATATTTGTTTAAATACTTGGGCGGGGAATGTGGGTGTAGCTCAGGGTAAGAGTTGCATGCTTAGCACATACGAGGCCCTAGTTCAGTTCCTGACATTCTCCCCACCAAAGAAAAAGGTTTCTGAGGGAACAGAATTACACTACCTTACTCTCAGTTTAGTGAAACCAGATGGTGCATCATTTATGTACACAAATAATTGTGCATTGGTGAAATATTATTGTACATCATATATAATCTCTTCCTTTCTTCATTCACACAAAGCTTTATGTGTAAGTTGCAGTATCAATGCACAAAGGTTCCAAACCTGCTGGATAATCCTTTTCGCCCTGTCCCTTAAGAACAGGCTTTCTGCAGGTGCCCTGCCATTTGCTCTGGCAGTCCTGGCCTCAGAACGTGAATGGCAATGGCTTTTTTGTCATGGCTGGGTTTCCCTAGTTACTGGATTTCTTGACAGTGGGCAGATGAGTTGAGATCTGTAGCTGTAAGATCACGTCATGTATTTGCAAATTATTCTCCCTATAGCAAACGCTTCTCCCGAATCCTGTCTTCACAAACTACTCAACTGCCAGACTTTGCACCTGGCATTACTGGTAGTGGAAAGCCCTAGGTCAGGATCTCAACAAAGAGGCTCTTTTTCATCATTTCGTTATGCTCTCTGAATGGCAATGCCTGTGTTCCCCACACAGGGGGTTCACCCATGGAAGGCAGTAAACCCACAGGATTTAAAGAAATGACACTTCCGTCAACAGCAACCCCACATCTTACTATACAATCCTATAAATCAAGGATGGAGAAAATAAGATGAAGGTGTGAAGGATAAAGGATTAGAGGATATGGTTAAGAAAATCTAGAATATAAGAAAAACAACAAAACAAATCAGATAAGTAGAAAATGAAAGAGTAACCAAAAAAAAAAAAGAAAAGCACATCTAATATGTCTACAAAGTAGTTACTTTTTTTTTTTTTTTTTGGTGGCACTGAGGCTTGAACTCAGGGCCTCATGCTTCTAGGCAGGCTCTATACCACTTGAGTCACTCCACCAGCCCTACGTGTACAAAGTAGAAAGCATGATTTTTCTGGTCCTTTAGCTATTAGTTTACACCAGGAATGATAAAGCACTCAACTTCCTAAATTCCTGCTGGCTTCCACAAAAAAAAAAATCTCTGAGGTGGAGAGGAAAAGTGAGAAGTTTAGAGTCTGAAGACCTTGGCCCTCTTTACACATGGGTGACCATTTTTCTTCCTGACCTTTAAACTTAAGACAGTTGTGCATCCCATCTCAGACACACCCACATTCTGCAGAAGTGCAAGTGATAGCTGTAGACCTCAGGACCTAGCCATACTTGGAAGAGTCTCCCAGGATGAGGTTTTCTGAATTGGTGCACACATTTACTACCAAGTGCACCACACCCATCCACAGGCTCAGGTAATAAGTGCCAACAATTTCTAGGCCATCTAGGCCAACTTGAAAAAACTCTATCCAATGCTTCCATTCTTTAGCAGATGGTAGCAAGTGCACCCAAGCTAAGCTAAAAAAATAAATAAGTAAGTAAGAAACGGAGCTGGGGGTACATAACAGTGCACACAGACACATCTAGGTTTGGATTATGTCTCTGCTGCATTCTAGTTGTATAACCTTGACTAAAATTCTAAACCTCTCTGACTCATTTTCCTCTAAAATGGAGACCCCAGCATCCACTTCATGAGGTTCCTCAGGATGAGCAGAGTTAACACAAGGACAGTGCCAAGTGTATGCCAGGCACGAGATGTTATTACAGGCCAGGCTTTGGTGTGGTTTATACATATCAGCACTGGAGCCTTGCGTTCCTCTGCTATTATACAGGCAGGGGAGCTCCTACCTCATAATCCAGTGCATTCTTGCCAATAAATAAGATTTCGCTGAGAACTATAGATAAAGCAGGATTGATTTAGTTGCTATGAGAAGCAAGTCAGATAAAGGATGAGTTATCCTCATTCTGTACACGAGGAGATGGTGGCCAGGAGAAGTTGTGTGACTTGTCAGGGGCCATCTGCTGATGTCTGTGCATCATCTACTGAGATTAAGCACTATGTCCCACTGAAAAGACTGAGTACCTCTTTCTGTCCACACACTCTCCACGAGCCTGGCTCTGAGTGGACTTGACTGTGTGGCAGAACTGCTGCACTCCAGTCAACTTTGGGCATAAATGCATTTCTTGTGAGGAGCAGGTTACTCCCTGGGAGTGTCTGGCTGTGTGGGGAGCATGAGCACAGTGCTGTCAGCACTGGTTCAGGGTACCCGTCTGAGGCCAAACACACACTGTGAGGCCAGTCCTACATACCTGGTTGCTTCTGCCGAGGTTTAGGCAAGTTTGTGACACAAGTGTGTGGGCACATCAGCACATTGCACGGGTGAAGGGAGCCCTCCAGGAAGAGCTGCTTTGTTTCTGACAAATGGATCCCACCAAGAGGGGTTTTAGGAAGAGTATTTGCTGGCACTAAGGCCAGACAATAAACTCCAACTTGATGTATACTGTCAATTGCCTGGAAATTTGAGAAAGAGGCAATAATATTAGAATAGGAACTATAAATAGAAACATTTAGTAAACAAAAAGGACTCGACCACTCAGGCTACATCCCTAGTCCTTTTGTTTTGATTTTACTTTTGATGTAAGGTCTCAGTAACTTTGTCCAGGATGGCTTTGAACTCATGATCTTTCTGCCTTCACCTCCCAAGTAGCTGGGAGCTCAGGTGTGCACCACCACGTTCGGCTCTCAAATATTTACACAGACAAAATACTATCTATAACGAGCTGACGTATGTGTAGTATGAACAGTGTTCTGAAAGTGCCAAACCAAGACAGTGGGTTTTCTCACTGAGCTCACTAAGCTGAGGAATTTTATGCAGGACTATTGCAAGACTGTAAAGAATAAAAAACGAATTTGGAGAAAGTCTATTCTCAAGATCCTAGTGAATGTGACCTTCCCAATGTGAATGGTAGGAACCAGCTTTGAAAGCCCTGCCCCCTGCCTTTGATGTGCCTAGTCCTTGACACTTGATAGACTTTCCGGTCAAGTGGAACATGGAAAGGAGCACTGCTTGGCAAAGACATCACCGCTAAGGCGGAAATGTAATCTACAGTGAGAAAGGGAAGCTGAAATGAGACAAGCATCAAGGCAATGTGGCACGACCTGGAGCACCCTGCTCATCCACTGGAAGCTGTCTTCCTCCGTGGAATCCGGCCTCTGCTCTGCCACAATCACTATCCTTTCATCGTGAAGGACAGTCACGGAGAACACAGCTATCCTGCAGGGACAGGGGAACATACAGTGAGCACAGGACAGAGACGCTCTCACAAGGCCTTTGATGGCAGTAAGGAATTTATAACCATCATGAATTATGTACATAGCTCAGGAGTTCACAACTCCCACCACAAAGGCCAACTAATTCCAACTCCTGCACACGCACTAATGTAAGAATAGTTCAGAGAGTCAGGTGGGGCTTAGCACCCAACTCTCCCTTGCAGGTTTCTTGTAGTGCCTGTGAGTTTTGGGGAGAAGGTTCATGCCCCTCAGTGTGGACAGAGGGGTTAGCATCGGAGTATTGGAACTGCTGACACCTAGAGACCCTCACAGTTCACATCTTGATTTTGCATGTGTGAAGTAATATCCCCACCCAGCAGATATTTTCTACATGGAACTAAGAGTTCATGCTCATTCTGTTTGCCTTGTATGGTCAGCATAGGTCTCTGGCCACTCCAAACTGCCACTATAACCCTTTTCAGAAACAAATTCTAGTTTCAGAGTTAATTCAAAGGTGGTGATGTTACAGCTAAGCATCGATTCCCGACTGGTCCCATTAGCTTGCTAAACTGTAATAAGATTCTCAGGAAGTTTCTGATGTCCATCAAAGGAGACAAAACCTTAGAAGCTGCAGTAACTAATTTAACTCATAGGTGTGCAGTACCTCTGCTCTGGCAGGCAAGGTAGGGAAGAAGGAAGAGAACTGGGGGAGATGAGAAGTAAATGAGCACCTGCTTTTCTATACACACTGTGACTTGCTTTTATCTTTGGGTCTCTCAGACATGCACCAAAAAGAGTGTTTGACTCTGTATTTTGTACAGTTGCTTGTAACAAATCACTTTTGAGAATGGGTATTTTTATATGGTGTATAGGTAAACTTCTAGGGCATTCATAACTAGATGAAATCCCAGAGGTCACTGAGTCCAGTTGCTTTGATTTTGCAGAACGGGGAACTGAGTGAAAATAAACTTAAGTAATTTATGCACTCTTTATAACCTTCATGCCTATATGAAAAGTGTGATGGACAGGAAAACATACACTTAATTCACAGATGACTGAACTAACCTTCCTCTGTAGACAAATTTCATGGGCTCCACGGCCAATGCTGTTGCCACGATGTCGTCAGCATTGTGTCTGCGCCCACTGACCACCATCAGGCCGTCCATTTTTCCCACAACAAAGACAAGCCCCCCAGGACCGACGAAGCCCAGTAAGCCTGTCCTTATGAATGGGTATTCGCTGATTGGAGCCCCCGAGCTTGTCACGGGAAACACCTGGGGGAAACACAGGCTCTAATCAGGTCACCATTTATAGGATAGAAAGGTTCTAATCTCACCACATCTCCTAAGAGTGGCAGATCTTGCTTTCGTACCTCCAATAAACCTGCCAGTGTGAGGTCATGGTGATGGACCTTGACTCTGTTCGCAGTCTTCAACATGGAAACCCTTGTGCCACCCTGTACTTAACAGAGTACCATCTGCCCTCCACATCTGGGCGATGTGCAGGGGCCTTAGGCAGCCTCCTCTCACAGGATTGCACCTCCAAACAGGGCGGAGGCAGAAATCACTACCCTAGGCTGAAAACACCAGCTAGCTTCTTTGTTTATACGACCACAGGATCAAAGTGATAAATGGAGAATCAAGGTGCATTTTTCATCACATGTTACTAGTAACTGGTCATCTAAATGTTATTTCTTCCTTACTGGAACTATGCTGAAGAGAAAAATGTGAAGAAAGTATGTCAAACGCAACTGAACTCTAAACCTCCTTTTTTTCAACCTTGCAGACAAATTACATAAATTTACTCAGCCTGCACCCAGCTACTATTTCAAGGGAGATTTTTTTTTTTGGGGGGGGGATTCTTTTTTTTTTTTTTATTGTTTTATTATTCATATGTGCATACAAGGCTTGGGTCATTTCTCCCCCCTGCCCCCACCCCTTCCCTTACCACCCACTCCGCCCTCTCCCTCTCCCCCCCACCCTCAAGGGAGATTTTAGAGAGCTGAATTCATACTCAATAAGGCCATCCTAGACAGGTACCATAATATGCATGTTTGGTTCCACTCAAAGTTCTAAACATTTAGGAATATAGCCACAATTTATATATTTTTGCGCATAACTGAACCAAATATTGTGTGATTCCTAAGGGCAGGCATCACATAGAAAAAAGATAAAAGTTTTGAGAATACCACGGATGCAGAATTGAACACCTGAGCCCATGAGCTTAACCCTCTCGGTGTCTCTCGCTATGCAGCATATATGCACCTATGCACACACACCACACACTTGTGCATGTCACACACACCACCCACACATGCAAAACATATGTCCACACATTTTCACTTGTTCCACTGAGATCATTATTTAACATATGCATTTGTTTGGGTTCTCATGAATTCACACTTGGCCAAGCTATGGCTAGACTGTGAAGGTATGGCCAGGTGGTTTTCCATGCATACTCTTACACACCTGGTCTTTCATCATCCACCTGTCACTTGGCACTTGTATTAAATAGGCAAAGGCAAAAACAGTAGCAACAAAGGAAAAAGGCCCATTTAAAGAAACTGCTTATTCTTTTTTGATGCTGGCAATAAGTTCAGAATAATGCTGATAAATCAAATTTATCAAAAGCAATAAAAATGTTAGGAGTAAGTGCAACTATTTTAGGTAATGTAAATATATTGTTAAAAAAATTATCACGTTAGGGTTCTTTGTCTGCTTCCATGCACCTGGTAGTGGCTGTGTGAAGACAGAAGAGCTCACAGCTGAGGACCCTCTGTCGACCTACCTCAAAGGTGTTCTTGGTCATGCCAGAGAGGCCATAATATGATGTCCCGGTCGCAACTGCACACACGCACAGCTCGCCGATTTCATCTGTTCTACACAACTGGGGGATGCCTTCTGGCTTCACCGAACACATGATGGCTAAAAGCAAAACAGGAAAGCACAGGGAGTATGGGGGAGGGGAGGAACTGATGAAGACATGAATATGCATAAGGACACAAACAGAAATATTATCTAGAACAAAACCCCAAGTGTCATAGCAGGCACTTATTTTCCTTCTACTAAGTCAGGATTTCTCAAGCTGTAGCAAGATGTCAAACTTCATTGTTGTGACATCAATCATTTCAATGAATTTAATTTTAATGTGTAGATAGTATTTAAGGAGAAAAACATGTTGGCCATTTGGTATGAGAATAATATTAAGAATAAATGGCAGGACTATTTATTTGCTACACCCGTATCGTCAGCAAAATTGGTACAACACCCAAAATGCAACTTGAAACTCTACCGATTAAGAAGCACAAAATACTTTAAAGTCTTTCAAAGCTTCTCCAAGTTGAAAGCCCAATTTAAGCCTCTAATCCTATGGAAATCTTAACCTTTGATTTCAAATTCCCTGTTAAGGTGAGTCCTTCAGATATGATCGCTGGAGGGTTCCTGCATGCAATTTAATGATGCTAGGTTCTCAGTGGTCCTCACCTCACACATGTGATGTGCACATGAGTATCCAACCATAATCAGTGTAAATCACAGTCTGATTACAGAGCCAAGAGAGAGATAGTGTAAGCAGCTAAAATGACATTTATTCCATTAAATTAAAAAAATGTTGCTACTTTTCATAAAATGCCACTTATGTTACATAAGAGTTTGACATTATTACCACAGGAAAAAAAATTTAAATATATAAAAATATCTATGACAAACATAAACCATACAATCTAAAACCTTTAGAAATCTTTACTTATATTTAAAAGTATATGGAATTTCTCTGACCAAATGACTAAGAACCTCTGCTCTAAGTAACACCTAATTCTGATGGACAGATACCCACGTGTGTGGATGAGAAGACAGTAGAAAGAACCTGAGGTTAGAGCTAAGGTGTCTAAGAAATGGAAGCAGCAGAAACATGCAAAGTTAAACTCACTCGCAGTAAGAAAAATTCACATTAACACTACACTGAAATAGCCTTCACCCATCAGATTAGAAAAATCAAAAGGGCTGACAATACACTGGGAAAGAGCTTGAGAAAGGTTCTGCCATCCACCATGGGCAGAGTATAAATCCATACAGCCCTTCTGAAAGACAATTTAGTATTATCAAAATGATGTGGCATGCTCCCTTTCAAACAGAAATCTCTTTTTTAGAACTCTTCTGTGAGATACTCTCATACCTACAAAGACTGTAGCTGAGCTGGAGTCCTTCACAGCATCAGGCTGCAGCAAAGAGTAAAACTCAACCAAAGGCGGGAGGCATAAATTATTATGCATTCAGACCATGCAACACCATACTGCCTGGTAAAGAGCAAGCTCTTTATATGCTAACAAATGAACTGTTAGATACAAAATGTGCTGTACACAGTACTCTCTCATTATGTGTGAAAAGCCAGAATCCCAAGAAAGCAAGCACATAAATGCATATCCAAGTAGGGTGTGTGTGCTTGTTTCTGGCTTCCCCAAGCATTTCTGAAAGGAAACCCGGATGTTTGTGGGTGTATCAAGTGGATAAAAAGGGGGTTTCTCATTGTGTCCCCTGAATCTTTGGTTGCTTCTACCATAGGACCTATTTATTTAAAAAAGTGTTTTTTTTTTGTTGTTTTTTAAGAAAGAAGAAAATGGAACCAGGATGTCCTGGCTCTTGCCAAGAGGTGGGCAATGAGCCTGGAGCACACAGAATTTGGAGGAATTTGAAGGTACTAACAAAGTTGCTGTGACACTGAAGAGAGAGTTTCCAAGGTAACAGGAAGAACAGAAGCACCCTGCATGATACTATTCAAATTAGAGGCATACAAAAGAGCAGGAATGCCAAGGTCTTTTATGTTCCAAATGGGACCAGCAGAAAGGCAAAACAACTTCCAGTGAAAACCCAGCCCACTTCACCAGAGAGAGGGACAGTGAGGAAATCCACCTGTGAGGTTCCACATGGGCAGTGTGGCCTTCCACCTGCCAGGTATGGTCTTAGCACTTGGATCGTGCAATCTGAAGATAACTCAGTGTGCTGCATGTTACCAGCACTGTTCATGCATGGACTTGGAGCTCTGAGGAAGAAGAGCCAGATCCTGGAGGGGACCCCAACTGAAAAGGAGCGCTGGCTTCATTCTGGCTGACAAACAATGAGAAGCCTAAATGCTGATGTGTGTGGCCCCATAAGACAGGAACCAGGGGAGTGTTCTCCAAGAAGGCAGGCTGGAGTCTTGTGTGTGGCTCCCCAGAGGTGACCAAGTACACTGCATTGGACTAAGTGGCACATGGGGGATGGCAAGGTAGGCTCCCTACAACCTGGAGGAGTATCTCTGTGCATTTGTGGGAATGGTTTCTGTGACTTTGTGGAAGGGCTACACTGCTAGAAACAAGCTTCATGAATTATGCAGGGTCCTGGTTCCTCAGTTTGCATACACGGGGCAAGCAGAAAGCTTTCTGTGCTTCTGGGAAAGCTGAGCCTGAGTGAGGCATTAACTAGGTGATGGATGGAAGCTGTTCTCTGGGTTAGAGAAGAAGAGGCCAACCAGCGTGGTGTGGGCACAGAGCTGATCAATGTCACTCACCTCCAGGCATGACGAGGCCCACATCCTGCACGGTGAGCACTGAGAGTTTCTCCTCGGAGTCCACGCGGATGACACCATAGGTCAGCCCATGCATGGACAGGACGCCTCGGCCTGGTGGCTGGTTGCTGTCATCCGTGGGCCTGAAAACACAGTTTTGGTTGAGTATGCGTAAGCAGAAATGCCAGCCCACCCACACACGAGCACCTCTTCACATAGACACACAGACAGCAGTCACAGTGGCAAGTCCTTAGGACGCAGCTGGCTGTCACTGGTGCCAGTGCGCAGGAGGGCTCACCTGCAGTCTGCGCAGTGCAGTTCTGCCTCTGAGTCAACTGATTTCCACCTTGGACGTCCCCAAGTAGTTTACAAATACCTCAGAATAGGAAGATGCCACCCCACTGCCTGCCTGCCCTCTCCCCTGCAGGCAGTTAGATCTGCTGACCCCCTGACCTCACTCCTGCTCTAGGTGAGGTCTGGTCCTCTAGTCTTGCAAATGGCTAGGAAGAGGGAGTGTCACCTCAAAGGACATAGATGAGTGATCAGAAACGATGAAAATCCTGACTGTCCAGACTCCATTCAGATGTGTACTGTCTAGGCTTATGCTCAATTGTATATGTAAAAATCCAAAGTAAGGGTTATGCTCTGCTACTCTGGCAGCCATGTTTTAAGGGAAATTGTTTTGATGGCAAGTTTCCTGTGAAATGCTTTGTGGCCCAGGAGGTACAGGTTTTAGATAAAGCACAGTTCTGAAAAGTGACCACACTCACTGTCTCCCCTGCAGCCTACAGACTCTGGGGGTCTGGTCCTCCCTGACTTTCTGGCCTTATCCCCACCCCACTCTCCCTCTATGCTCAGCTCAGTCCTACCCTGGGACTCCTGCACTGGCTCCTGCCTCTGCCCTTGGACAGCTGCTCACATACCCCTCCTTCTCTCTCTTACTGCCCTCAGGTGTTGGCTCAGTCCCGGACTTCTCATCACCTCATGAAAGACACCTGCCCAGCACTCTGTCCCACAATAGGTATTACTTGACATGCGGGGGCCTCATGCCTCAGAGTCTAACCTTCCTGAGAGCAGACAGGCCACTCACTGCTGTATCCTATCCCTGGAACAGGATCTAGCAATAAATGTCTGTTGACTGAGCTGGTGAATGAATGAAAGAATATTTGCAAGACCGTGGCTTCATTTGTTTCTGTAATTTTCCATGTACAAACCTTTCATGTGGTTTAAAGATCTCAAAGTTGAACTATAAATGTGAATTTGCCATTTGCCATTCTAACATTGTGAAGGTTTATAAGGAACCTAAAGATATAAATGGGATAGAATGAAAGTTAAAATTTGCTAAAGGAGATCTTATTTGAATTAAGTAACTGGTGTATTAAAAAAACCATAACAACGGAAGTACAATTATCCTTGTAGGAATTTAAAAGGATAGAGCTAACCAGATATAAACACCTGCCTAACTAATAAAACCCATGAGAAACTACCTGGATGTGACAAGCTCAGAACACTGGGACATCTATGATGCCCTTGGCCTCATATTTATCCCAATAAAGCAACACTTTGAAATGAAAACCAGAGCTCTCAGAGGTCCTGCTGCCATTTGCTCCCCACTACAGTCCTTCATGAAGATTCAATGTGAAAATTAGAAATTACAAGTCTTATGGTCGGTTGTGGGCTAAATTATTTTCCCTAAACATTTAACCTGTGGTACTGTGATGGGATCTTGTTCAGAAATAGGATCTTTACAGATAGGGCTAAGATGGGGTCATAGTGGCTTAAGATGTACCCTAAATCCAATTTTGCCAGTTTCCTCATGAGAGAAAAGAGTCATGCACACATGAAAGAAGTCATATGATGACCTGGGTGACTGGAGTGACACGCCTGTCAGCCAAGAAACACCCAGAGCAGACAGCACTCTCCAATAGCTGGAGTCAGGCTTGGAACAGATCCCCCACCTCCAGAAGGAATCAACCCTACCAATAACTTGACTTTGGCCTCCAGAATGAGCAAGTTTGTGGTTCTTTGCTATGATAGCCCTGAGAAACTAATAACGAATATTAATAAGAGCCAGCCTATACTTGTTTATTTTGGTGGTACAGGGTTTGAACTCAGGGCCTTGTGCTTGCTAGGCAGGCACACTTACCACTTGAGCCACGGACCCCTTTGCTTTAGTTTATTTTTCAGATAGGGACTTGTACTTTTGACCAGGGCTGGCCTCAGACTGCAGTCCTCCTACCACTGCCTCCCAAGTGTTGGGATTACAAACTACTGCTGAATTTCTACTATGCACCAGATTATTTTTAAGTGTTTTATGTGGATGAACCCATTTAATGCTCACACAGGTGCCATTGTACAGTGGAATCCAAGTCCTTAGGGCCCAGCACTGGCAAGTCACAAGGCCAGTGTGTGAACAACTGAGAGAGGCATCCAGGCCAGCAGATTCCACAGCACACTGGCTGACCAGTGCATCGACTGACTCACAGAGAAGGAACAAGGTGGGCTCCATCTCTGGGACTCAGAAGCATCTTCTCACCGTGGCAGTATCAAAACAGTTCATGTAATGTTGTTTCTGTGGGAAAATGTGCTTGGCTTCCAAATAACACTGAAGTGTTACAGTGCAATCAGTTTGAGAGTAAAGGGTCCTCCCTTCTGAACTGAGGAACAGAGACTGGAAGGAGGCACTTTTTGGAGGATGGGAGGATGTCTACTGTGCCCTGGTCACCATCTGTGACCAAAGGCTTTTCTTTCAGATGAATGTAAATTAGCTCCAGGATGCCTGAAAGGCCAAACAATGCATACACACAGAGTGCAGAGCATCTCCATAGTTGTTCCTTCTTTTCTAGGATGATCCTCTTAAGTCAAACCAAAGCAGCCCTAATAAACTAATGGTGCCAGGTTAAAACTCCCTCTATGGAACAGCTGAGGTTGTATACTTGCTTTAATGGAAATACTATTCGCAGGGGACATTCCTGCAATGAAAGAAGAAATTCAGAAAAAAAAATGTGAACACACTCTTCTTCAAAAAGGCAAAAGATATCAAAACTCTTAATATTTTGTTTGTCTGTGAGACAAGGTCTATGTAGCCTAGCTGGCCTCTACCTTGTGATCCTCCTGTGTCTGTCTCCCGAATACAATTTTTATAAGAATGCACAACCAGACTGAAGTCAGGATATTTAATAGGGAAAGATAAAAGGTTAAAAACAAAATACCCTAGTATGAGTTAATTTAATGTAATTTTCTTTGATGAGAGCAGTATTTGTACATTAAAATTTTTCTTTTGGTAGTACTGGGGTTTGAACTCAGGGTCTCATGCTTGTTAGGCAGGTGCTCTACCACTTGAGCCACACTTCTAGCAAAACATATTTTAAGATCTATGGAACATAGAGAGTGGAAGTTTCCCTAATACAATCCCTCAGCTATCTAGTTCATTAATAGTGCTTGGAATTTTTTTTCTCTTGATGAATATGCTATTTACAGATGCTTAATTGTTTGTGGTCAAAAATTGGATCATGCCACTTCAACTGTTTGTGAACTATTTTATTTCCTTTGTATACTTTCCATGTTTCAACAGCAAACTATGGGCCGGAACCAGCAGGAACACCTTCAGCCTGTATTAGGCGTGGGTATCCTCCCACTTCTGCCCAAACAGACTTCTGGATGCAATTCCTCAAACAAAAACTGTAACAGAATATCCTCCTGTATCCAAGTAGGAGACAGTAGGAGAGTAGGACATTATGACTGCCTGGTGCTTCCGTGCTATCTCATGAAGTCATGCTCTCACTTGGCCATTCTCATTTCTCAACTGTTGTGGGGCTAGAAATGTTTTTAAATTTTATCTAAACTCAGATAAAAATGATTTTAAAATATTCCTGTGTTTTAAAAATGAGATTATGTGTCTTACGTATGACTTTTTGGAGCCATCACCAAGATTCCTAAGGGCCCCACTTCTGTTCATGGGCTAGGGGTAACTTTTTACTCTGGGCCCACGGTTATGACACACAAAGAAAACACGTCATTTCAGAGTCGGCTGAGCATTACGTAGTGTAGTGCTTCCCGTTGGATGACTTCTCTGTTTTCTCTCCTATAACAATACAGCAGTTTTATAACTGCTAGGCTGGAGTCTTTCAAAAAGCAGGATATTCCTATTATTCTCTGGAATGATTGCTTTAATTCCTATTTTATATAACTATTAATTTTCATTGCTCAAGCATCAATATACCTTGTAGTTAAAAGGTCAAAAACAGTTTTTTAGTTGAATAAACTATCACAATGTAGCTTTGAAAAAAAAAATCAGTTCTGTTGTCTGTATTCTCTGGATGAAACAGAGCCACGTGGCAGGCAATCTTGAAATACTTGGGTCCAGAAAATCATCTCCTGGTTTTCATTTTTCAATTCGCCCTTGTTTTTTAATTTTACTGATGAGTTTAGGCATCACAAGTTCATGTTTCCACAGTATTTTTCTATTCTAGGACAAAAAGGGAATATATGAAGTATTACAGGATGGTGACAGTGTTGAAGAAGATAGGTTCTTGGTCTGTTTTCTGTTACTGTAACTGAATACACAGCCGGAGTAACTTATAAAAGAATACAGGTTTGTTCAGTTCCTGATTCTCAAATCTGGAAAGTCCAAGAGCAGGCACCAGATTTGTTAAGAACATGGTGGAGAGAGTCAGATGGCAAGACAGAACAAACACGCCAGTGTGAGACTCTCTTCCTCTTTTATAAAGTCACTATTGCCATTAGGGGGACTCCACTTCTGAATTATCATTAACGTATGACTTTGGGGGACCAAGTTTTCAGCACATGAATTCCAGGGAAACACCCAAACCAAAAACCATAGCACTGAGGAAAATTACAATTAAGACAGGAATTTCTCAAATTTCACTGAGCACTATGTGATTTCTTGCTATCACCTGGCTGACAGGCACAAATGTGCACACACACAAACAGACCCAGGTGAAGACAGGTGTACACGAAGATGGGAGCACCCCTCCCCACCTTGTTCCTTCAAGTTCTTCAACTTAAGTTCATAAAAAAGCTCAAGGGTGCTACCATGAATGTTGGCCATTCTCTCGGAGACTCCTTTCTCTGAGGGGAACTCTGAGATTAGTTCTCATCATGACAAGCCTCCAGAAGTCTT